GAGAATATTTGTAGATTCGTCGTATGAGGATCGTATGCTTTCTAAGACGAGTCTATGATGAAATTTTTGGATTGGACAATGCAAAATATGACTAGAAATGGAAATAATTATTATGCATCATTTACACAAAGCTAATAGATTCTTTCTAGTACTTTCTATGCTAAAGGATATTTATAGCTTGATTTCCGATTCTATTGAGGCAAGTCTGTAGCAAATAAACATTGATTTTTGCTGGTTCTGTAGGAGAGTTTTTGGAAAATTATTGATCGGATTGAGTTCACGAACGAGTTCTGTTAAATTCCAGATCTTGTGACTGAATAATACATGAATTGCGACTTGCAAAACTACCAAAAGCGTAGTAATTTTCAATAATAAAAATAAACATTTACTAGATCTTTTGACATTTTTTTATTCTGAAGACAATTTTCTTGGCTATGACCTGTTTTCAACATGTGAGTATTTCGTAAATACGACTGGAAGATTTCACTCGTATACTCATATACACCATCTACAAATTTTTTAAATTTTTTTTCTTGTGTAACTTAGAATTTTGTTTGAGGAATTTTTCCTGTCACAAATGTCATTTGTTGAATACTGCTGAGTCCATACTAACTGAAATTCTAGAATGGCCGAGTTAAGGCTTCCTACGTGGAGTGAAGAGCAGATTAGTTCTGATTATTCTTCAAGTAAAGCTTATCTCAATACCCAAGTAATTGGATTGTGAAAATGTGGAGCTTCCGGCGTTAATCACTTGCTGAAGAAAGTGAATGCTCTGGACTCCATTTGTAGCTTTGCAGTAGTTATCAAATGCATATCTGGCGTGGACATTGACTTACGATATGTTATGTTACCGATGGACGAGAGCCGTTATCGACTGGATTCCTCGGGATATCAAGCGCTCTACAGGAAGACCACCTACCCGATGGTCCAATTTCATCACGAAAGGCATAGAAGAAAGATATGATGCTCAGCGAATCACTAGAGCGAGCAGGACCCACTGGGCTAGCCTTGCAGGCGATAGGGGAAAATGGAAGTGGTGCTGGTGTCCGCTCGAGTCACTCGACAATCAATGGGACGACAGGTGATGTTATGTCTACTCTTTTTTCCTTCCAGACTGTCTCATGGCAATTTGTCGACCTAGAAAGGACCAAAGGCATTATGCACCCGAGGTGTAAGGTGAAACTAGCTACCGATGCGTACTGGAGGACATTTCTGACCACCGCGCTACATGAGGTCTTTTACTGCGTTGCGGTTCTTTCATTTTATCCTAGAAAATGAAGGAACGACCCCTTTTGCTGGACAAGAATTTCTCTTAAGGATGCTAGTAATCATTCGAAAGCTCAAATCGCTGGCTACTGCGCTAGGTGCTCGCTTTTTGGAAAAACCTTGTTGAAAAGCTATGGCATTCAAGGTAAAATTATCTTTCACAGTCGCCGCGCACTTCAACTGTTACTTCGCTGGGAGCACGAAGAACATGTGAGCGTGTAGATGAGATCTTGTAGTATCAGAGCCATACGTTTTACCTGGTGTTTCATTCGGGGCGGAGAAACAATCTTGGATCAAGTAACCAAATTTGCTCTCCACAAGTGTAAGGCGTCGACGCGATGAGTCGTTAGCCGTATGGCAAGCCCCAGCACCCACCGCTCCCCCCCCCCCCCCCGCCTACGCCCAGCCCACTAGCCCACACACTAGCCGTGAAACAATACCGCGTATATCAATCTTATTTTCCATGCCACACTGTAGTGAAACTTTTGAAATCATGGAAATTTGCGTTATCAAATAGTTACTCCTGGTTCTAGGAAGTAGTTCTGTCCTTCGAGAAATATGCGTGTGTGTAACACAAATGTTCTCTTTCTGTTACAGCGTTATAAAGAGCTATTTCAAAAAGACGTACGTCACGCACTAGCGAGAAATTTAAGCAATAATTACTAAAGCTCTCGTAAAAAGTTCTGTCCTGCAAAAGGTGTCGTTTTTTCATTTGTTCCCGCATAACATAAATAGGCTTTAATTAACTAGTTTTTTACTTTTTTTTCATTGTGCAGACTTTCTATTCTGTTCTGTCTTGTATCCATCTTATCATCCTAGGAAAAGAATTCACAACTCATTATACTACATTCACATCGTCTTCGATGTCCTCTCCCACGACTATTTCAACCTCTGTCAGTAATTCCTTACATCATTTTTATTAATGCGCTTATTATGTAATTTTTTCCTTCTAATGCACTTCATATTTTCTCGCCAAAATTTAGTAAAAATCTATAAGGTGGCCTTCATGTAAGGACGCATTATTGCACACAGCTGGCAGTCGCACAGTTATGACGTGGTCGATCAACGGCTAAAAACGGAATAAAAGCGACCGACCAAGAATCAAACACGAAGAATAACTAAAACAAGGCGGATCATGAGTTCAATCAGGAACAAAAGCCTCGTCTTCAATCACAGTATTTGTCCAGGAGCACAGCTGTCGGTGGCTTTTTTGATGTCTCTGTCGCGTCAGCGAATTCATCATCTAGGACTACGCATGTAAGGTTATTCCTCTATGCCAGTGGAAATGATTTTTTAAACGCTCTGTGTTCTCAATATTCTATCTGCTGTAGGTTAGCTAATCAAATAAGTGTGAAGCATATAGCAAGGAACTTGTTGTCAACAGAATTCAACGTATAATCACCACGCCGCGCACCCACTCATTCTCTACATCACTAGAGTTTGAAAGTCACCTATAAACCACTGTAACGATAGAAATTGAAGGAAGTAGCGCTGACATTCCTTCGTAGTGTGATATGATGCTCCGTCGGTTCCATCCCTTGTGAATGAGCAAAATGAGCTCACAAAAGCAGCTTTGGTTGATGCGGACGGGCATAGATCGACTTCTAGTACTACTTGCATGAGTGATTCAATGAAAAGGGAGCTTACAGATGACTAGCATTCGATATCTATCAGTTTATAGATCTGACTCCATTGCGCATGTTAGAAGAATTTAGATGCATGTTTGACTTGCGCAGTGACTTACGGTGTCCAGCGAAATATCGAGTTAGTGGTTCTCTTACTCCGGAGTAGAGCTATTCTAGTGCTCTAACCTGTTTATTGGAAGTGCTGGAATCCTCATGATAGAAAGTCGAACCAACGAGGCTTTGCATCACGCAGCTTATCTATTTAATTATTACGCTCCAATTACAGATGATGAAGATGTAAGCAAAAATGATATTTTGTTGTCATAAATAAAAGACGTGCGCTGCTATTCATCAAATATTTTGAATATATATCATCTCATTTTATGACCACTTTTGAAATTATTTTCAAATTCGGTTTTTTGTACTTTTCTATACGTGTACTACGTTTAAGTGCTTTTCAACTACAGCTGCTACCCATTTATGAATGAAATTCAGGCAATCTCACTCTTATCGTTTCTTATTCAATCTTTCTTTCCTCTTGTATTTCACATTCCTTCGCTTCTCTCTCTCTCTCTCTCTCTCTCTCGCTCTCTCTCTCTATCTCTATCTCTCCTTCTCCCTCTCTCCCTCTCCTTCTCTACGTGTATATTTATATATAAAATATATATATATATATATATGTATATATATGTTTTTCTGTCTCTCTCTTCCCTTACTAAGCTAATAATTAATCTAATGATATAGTGTGAAAGTATGTTTACGAGAAATTAGTAACTACAACCCCTAAATAGGCAAGTAAGATTGTAAGCTAATAGAGTTTCATAGTGTTCTTTTACATCCAACTTGATCGTACTCGACTTCTAGATTTTTTCTATTGAATTACCATTTTATAAACGCGAAAGTGTTGAGATACGAACAAAAATTGGAATCTGAGGTGGCTTTTAACACGCGATTACCCTTAACGCGGTCATCTCATATTATTTAAGCTCATTAAATTTTCCTCTGTCTTCTCTCTACCATTTTACCGGCCGCGTTTTTCTCTCGGTGGCTGTCATCAATCAGCCATCAACGGATTTCATCTGGGAAACAAAAGAGGAATGGATTCCAGTTAAAATGGAGCAGTGGTCAAAATCTCAACCAGCTTTGCTCGTGCCTGAGCACTCTTGTAGTTACATTTCACATTGCACCCTAACTCTAAGAAAGAATTAGACAAAGAGTAAAGGTGGAGAATTCATCTACACTGCCCAGTATCACATTCTTCTGATCAGATCCCACCACTTGTAGCACTTTATGCGTTTCCTGTGATAAATCCTCTATAGCTTTTCAAGCATTTCGCATGTTGTTTCGACTGCTGACTTGAACATTTCATCTTCTTCATGAATGACGTAGAGTGCAGTTCGAGCAAATCTTATTGCAATTTCGGAGAAACCCGAGCTAGAGCGTTCTGCAAGCCTCTCGTTGATCGACCGCAAAAGAGTGTTGGGAGAGAGGGTCGAACCAGTACCTTACTTTCTGGCACCCTACATCACTCTTCCTTTCTCGGATTGAAAACATGAGTTTTTAATGTCTTACTTTCCTTCTATCGCTTTTCTTAGTAACGCTCCATTTTGCACGTACACGTCTTTCTCATCCCCGATTCCTATCCAATATCCCGTAAATCTTTGCACTCTTCACGTTATAATCACGCTGTTCACTACCTTTATATTCCTTTTCTGTCTCTTTATCTCTCTCCCTCCCCCTCTCTCTCTCTCTCTCCCTCTTCTCGTATCTCTCTGTCCCTCTTAGCTCACATCTGCCCCTGTACTCTTTTATCTGCGCTTTTCACTCCCCTATATATCTCCGTTTCTCTCCACCTTCCCCTTATTCCTTCTGCCTCTTATTCTCATTCTTCTATGATTCATTGGGGATGACTTCTTAACCTGATAAAATAATGAATTTTCGTGCTACCGATTCAAAACATTAATTACGTAAATGTATCACCTGATCCATGTTTACTTATGTGCGATGAAAATATAAATACTTTAATCGAAATTAATTTATTGAACCACCTCTTGCCGTGGTATGATCTTATAATATACCCGGTAATGTGGAGTGCTGTGCAAAGACATTTGCGTCAACCGGGATTCGAACCCAGACCTCCCTCTATCCGGAAGCGTGTGCTGAACCGTTGCACCACCCACGCTCGTTTTGCGCAGCACTTTTTTTACGCTACAACGCATCTCTTATCTGTCAACAGCTAACGTCGACGGTCTAACGGAGTAGCCGGTACCGGTATGGAACCCACTTATTTGACAGATATTGGGTATCAAAAATCAATCAAAATTCTCTAATTTGACAGCGTCTTGCGGTGGTATGATCTTATAATGTACCCAGTTCGAATCCCGGCTGACGCAAATGTTCTTGCACAGCACTCCACTTAAATAGTATAGTTCGGGGATTATCATGAAATTTCTATTGACGGAAGATGATTATTTGGTAGAAATCTTAGTTCTCGGATAGTTATTAGTCCCTTATCAATCAGCAATCATGTATTATCAGAAATGCCGTTCTTCTTTCCTATCCCTTTAGTTCTCATTGTCATTTGATATCCGTTCTGTTTGCGCAAATGGTCATAGTTCACTTGCACTGTAACAAAGCTCTAACGAAGTTTTAACACCTTCGGGTAAAAATTTTCACAAGATTATACCATTAAATGGCACTTTTGTGAGAGATAAATATACTCTGGCAAATTGTTTAGGTGCATGCACTTTGATCTTAATGCTTGTAACACCACTTTTGGTACAATTACGAAAAAAAATCGGTAAAATCCGCAATTTAGTTGTTACTGTAACAAATCCCTGTCAATCATCATAGTTACAGCAAAACTTTAATTTGTTTCGGGAGTTTTCTAGACAAAATTTTTATTAAGCTTTCATGCACTTTCGAAGATTGATTGATATAAGAAAATTTCCTGCCTTATTGAAAAATTTGAGGTTGAAGTGTTTGGCGTTGACCATAACGTGTATTGAATCCATTGAGCTCTGTAAAACTGACTGGATGCATATTAAGCATATGAAAGAACGTGAGACTGCCTACCTACGTGTCAAGTCAGTGTCCTCACTATTTGAGAAAATCTGACACGGCAGACTGCTGGTGAGTGACGGGCTTTGTGAACCCGAGAAGAGGACTCGCATAGTAAAAAAGGGATTAAGTGACTGCGTCTGCATTGAGAATTCCTTCAAGCACTTCGACTCTTTTTTTTTCTTACTCTTTCTTTATTACTCATTTTTTTTCTTGTCTCACACTTTATCAAGAGACTATGTGGGCAGGTTCAGTGGGTTTAACTTGGGAAACAGACTATTAGCATTTGGCATTCGTAATGACATAGAATGACTCCACTCCATAGTATTTGTTAGAAGTATCTCCAACATTCAAGTGACAATCGCACTTTTCTGACTTATAGAGAGCAAGTAGCCTAGAAAAAATGATCTAGAACGCTAAACGCTCGTTATCCAGCACTATTTGAGCATCAGCACATTGCTTGAATACGTCTTATGGTGCACCTGTTTTTCAATTCCGTGGCTTGGCTATCGAAGCACTTTACTCCCTCAGATCTTTTGCATGGTACAAAACTTGTCTTGAAGGCTCAAAACGGGTTTTTCGTCGCGTGCCTATGACTATCCACCGCAAAAGGACTGTTTATCGAAGAGATGTGAGGTGGGTTCTGCGCTATTGATGTTCGAAAGTTCAAGAATGATGCTTATCTTTCTAATGTGCTGTTTCAGATTAATGAAAATACTATAAGAGCGAATATATCAATTATGCATTGCGCAATATAGTGGCTAGAAGTTCTGTTCACTATACAAGCAGACCTTTCTTCGATTTCGAATCATGCGCCAACCAGAGTACCTTTCCCATACCTTTGTTGATTACTTGGTAATAGCGTACTTAGCTTGAAGAATAGAAAGGTCTTAACTCAAAAGACCTCTCAGTCTTACTTGAGTCAAAATTGACGCTTTGGGTACGACAGGGGCACATCCCTAGCTCCGCCTCGACGCGTGTGACATCACTAATCTCGGACGCTACGGACTTCTCTCCGCGCGCGGCGAAGCGGGCTGGTAGCGCGTCCTTGTCGTTAATCGTCCAAAGATTTAATGGAACCTAGTGCATATGTTTTTCGCCTATCTTATGACTGATTTTCAAACGGTATTTAACCTTTCTGCGCTTTCAAGGGTCAAAAAGTTGAAATGGTGTGGCCTAAATAGATATTGATCAAGTTGCACAATATGACATTAAGTTTCAGCGCAAACAGTCTCTATCAATTGCATGCTATCGGTATCAGTCGATGTGATCTTATAGTCTCAGAAGTATCTGAAATCTTTCAATATCTTGAAATAAACAATAAATTATTCATTGCATAGATAAGATCAAATACCAAACAGGTGCCGCCACAAATGGAATGTTGACGCTGAAAAATCAGCCTTTTTGACGCCGTACTGAAAAACTATGACCGTTCACTTTTTTCAGGATTTCACATACAATGCTAAAATTGCGCAAAGAACAGGCGACAAGAAAGTTTTCATTGTTGATGCATTTCTGCGGAACGCGTTATGCATCATACTCCATCAAACATCTTCAGAGGTACCAATGTATCATGCTAGTGCTGCCATCATTCCGAACAAAACTGACACCGACTTGTTGACATCTGATGGAATGAAGTCTCAGTGAGCGCATGACGTGGGATCGAACCGAAAGTGTGGTTCGCAAGGCACCTCCAAAATCTCTAATACCCACGCCCCATGAAATCACATGTAGCAGATGAAGTGCCACAGATGTGCTCAAAGCTAAACCCTTAACAACGAGGCTGGAATCTTGTGCGGCACGCGACGTGATCGCGTAGCGAGCTACAATGTCAATGAGGTAGTTTGTTGTGAAATTTGGGATTACTCGTAAGTGATGGTTTAACTACCGTAAGAACTTGGTGGAGTATGATTGATGAGATCTTGATAAGATTATCGGTAGAAGAAGCAGCGCTAATGCTTCACGATGAATATAGCGACATGATTTGTTTAGTGAGTCCTTTTTCATAAGTGTTTGTACATAGTGATATGAGAACTTGTCGTTTTTTTGTAGTGTGCTGTGGAATTGCTAATCGTAGGTGTTGTATTAATCACCAAATATCTGAAGCAAGAATAGGAAAAATGGAATAAAATCATCGAGTACCAGATTTGCACGGAAGCACGCCAGCACATATTCACTCCGAGATAGACGAGAAAGAGAGAAAGAGAGAGAGAGATGAGCTAAAATCAACTCATGTGGTTGTCAAGTGGTTAAGATAGGTTTGTTAAAAATCGCACCAGTGAAGTCTCTCTTGCTCTATCCACAGCCGTGAATTTTATCGGTTGTTTAACAATCTCTTCTTACTCCGATGTGATTACCATTGTACTAAATTCATAATAAATTAATGTGATATTGAAGCGTGTATATTGCACTAGTTAGAAGTGCGGTATAAAACACGCGCCTCCCCTGCTTTGATTTGGCGCCTAAGTAAAGTTCTCTAAGCCCTCTGTTCTTCCAGCACCGGAGAACTGGTGTCAGATATGTTTGAAAGATAAAAGAGCTGACTTACCACAGATCTCCAAATCCGTAAGTCATTGTGTAGGTCAGATGTGCATTCAGTCACCTATAGTATTCCATAAATGGAATTCAATGCATGACGCTCACCTTCCGTAATAGATTAACGCCGAGCGCCTTATCCGTTTTGTATTTAAAACAATATTAGTGATTACGTTTATCCTGTTAACAGTTCAGGAGTTTGTTCACTGTCTTGAAAACGACGAAAAGACTTACGTAGCCTTGTCTGTTTATCATTCAGCCATGTTTCTGACGACGCCGTGATATCCTCCACTTTTGCTTTTTAATTTGAACTGATTTGGCAACAAAATTTGTTTTATTCACTCCATTCCAAGCGTGATAACGGCAAAGCTGCACTGACATACTGTATTTTATAAACAGAATTTCACCATGGAAAAGAAACAATAGTGACGAAATTGTAGATGTTCCTTCTGCTGAATATCTCAATTATACGACTTCTCGACCTGCCACTGCCATTTTCCGGAAAAATGAAAATCATCCAGCCTAATATCAACTTATATACAAAGACAAAATGTTTTTAACATAGTATAAACTGACTACTGTCAGGTTTTTGTTATCGATTTTTTCTTCATTCATGCTTGAAGTGCGTGATGATGTCAGGTGGTATTCCTCGCCTCAGTCAAACAACTTATCCTTTTATTTTTATGACTCCTCGCATTGACGTTCTAAGTGACGCGTACTCATTCTAGCTGAAAAGCATCTTTGTGTGTTTTTTGAAGATGTTCCACTCCATTTGTTGTATTACGTAATAATCTGATGCACTCTCATCATTATCATCGTCATCAACGCTAGCAGTAATCTATAATACTTCGGAGTAATCAAGTACTACTTCACGTAACTAAGCTCCTTAACAATGTCAGCGTTATGGATTCTGATGATATATTGGAATCCTAACATCGTAGTACTTTTTTTGTTAGATCTCTTTTTTCCGTTCCCTTGACAAATCTTCCCAATCAGATACAGAGCATATCATCAACGAATATCATCTTTATTTTTTTTGTGTTGGGATTGTTCTGGTTTTATTGCAGACAAAAAATATGCTTAACTCCAGCCCAGTGTTGAATGTTTTGCAATCGACTTAACATTTTCAGATGTGTATTTATGATATCATACCACTGCTAAAGCGCGGCAAAATAAAGAATTTACATGGATTTCAGGCAAGAAAATTGCTTTAGCATCATCGGCAAATGTGTTCTGATTCACGCGTATTGCAATCATTGGATTTTGCTTTGAATACCCCCAACAAAACTATTCCAGGTCTTCACTACAAGTCATCAATGGCTTTTAGAGAACGCGGCGAGGTTTTCAAACAGTCCTAGCACAATTTTATTTTTTCCGGAAAAAAGGGAAGAGTGGTCAGGTAGATAGGTGGTCGGATCACCAACTATGCGTAAACGGCACACTATCTCTCACCACCACCTTATCAACTACAAAAATAAATGGAGAAGAAAATAGGACGAAGAAAAAATATGAAGAATAATGAAGAAAATGAGCAACTAGAAACGCTCAAGGTCTCGAAGAAAAGTTAGTTCTATTTATTCCTATTGA